ATACACTGGTCAGCAGAGTGCCCTGTTACACCCAGGAATGCATTGTACCAGGTGTTGTGTGCTTGGCCCAGCGCTCTGGTGATGAATGTCGATTCTGTATTTTGATCCACATTGGTGTCCATGTCAAAGCAAAGATTTTGTAGTAACAATGATGAAATGCATAGCCAGGGGTCATCCTGTCTTCAGATGTGTATGATTCTACACTGAGATTTCCAGTGTCCAAAACATGTTGGGACAGAGTGAAAATGCACTTATGATGTAATTATTTTTTAAATTACTGGTTTTTATTAGGCTATCTTGTTGATTAATTCTTCATGGGGGTTTCAAGGTTTCTTTTCTTTTTTCTTAAATTTGTATCGTGTGTGTGTGTGTGTGTGTGTGTGTGTGTGTGTGTGTGTGTTGTGGAGTCAGGGGACCTGTCTGGGTTCCCACCATGTATTTGAAGAGTGTCTTGATTTATGACTTTTTGTTCTGAAAGTATAAAAACTTCACAAAACTGTTACCACTCTGAGTCTTGGTGTTTGGAATAACTGAATCCATGTTCCTGGTCCATGATCACTAATATTTGGCTTTAGAGTAATTTACCCCTTATCCCTTTTGAGGTGAGAGCTGTGTTCTTGCGCTGCCATGGCCTCTAACATAGTTGGCCTGTGGCTGTTTCTTACACACCTTTTGAGGTGAGAGCTGTGTTCTTGCGCTGCCATGGCCTCTAACATAGTTGGCCTGTGGCTGTTTCTTGCACTCCTTTTGAGGTGAGAGATGTGTTCTTGCGCTGCCATGGCCTCTAACAGGGTTGGCCTGTGGCTGTTTCTTACACTCCTTTTGAAGTGAGAGCTGTGTTCTTGCGCTGCCATGGCCTCTAACGTAGTTGGCCCGTGGCTGTTTCTTGAACTCCTTTGCTCAGCCACACTTACCTGTTAGCGTGGGAACAGTGTAGCTGCTGACTCTTACCCTCCCGGGATAGCTTCCTCTTTGAACTGAATGACCTAAGAGTTCTTGGAGCTCTCTGGATGGCTTCTCATGTGTGCAGTGAAGAGTAGTCTGCCCCCTCCTGCCTGCCTGGAGATGCAGCACTTTTACTCACCCCTTTATTCCTAATGCTGGGCATTGGTGGATACTTATTTACCTGTTTTAATAAACAAGCATAACCAGTTATCCATGTATATATTGTCTACGGCTGCTTTCACAGTACATAACTGACTACGGCCCACAGTATCACATAGCCTAAATGATTTACTATAGGGTCCTTTACAGAAAACAAAACTCATCAACTAACTCTAGTTCTTTACCTGCACTTTCCTCAGTGTCTCGCTCCCTCTTTGCCTGAGCCCTGGGGAAGAAAGAGCAGGAACCGTTTCTAAGGGAAGACTGGAGTAAGTGGGTGTGCTTGATTTCACTGGGAGTTCCCAAGGAATGCCATCCTTTTCGGTGCCTCGGATTTCTTAATTCACAAGAGAAAGTCTCACAATAAGTGTGATTATCATAGACGGCACCTAACTGTAGAGTTCATAAGCTTTATCTAATTTAATATTTGTGACCAGCGGGGACCAAGCAGATTTGCAGGTGATAATGTTGAAACCCAGATTGGAAAGTAACTCGCCCTGGATCCCACAGCTAGGCCGGAGCATGGTCCTTGCACCTTACCAGCTGCCTTCAGAGGTGGCTGCTGTTTCAGGGCAGCACCAAACAGTGGGAAAAAAGAAAGTTTGCAAACAAACACAGGGTGTAAGGCTGGGGCAAAGTGTTACAGTTTTGAATGCAAGAAAGCATAAACAAACAATAAACTATGACTGTGCAGAAGGATTTAGCTATCCCCAGAGACCCCTTCCTGAAGTTCCTGTTGCAATCCTGATGAGTGGAGCTCTTTGGCTGTCTTAGGTATATTCTGCTCCAGCAAGACTTGTGAAGCAAACGCCCCAGGGGTTAAACAACAGCAGGAGTGGGCTGTGCTGATACCATTGTCCTCTGTTAATGAGACTCTGAGCTGCAGGAAGAGTATGTGTGAAGAAGGAAGGCTTTTCTGTTTTCCTACAGAATTTTGACATTAGGGGGTGTCTAGGGTATCACTCTAGTGTGTATGGCATGGAAAGCTTGTTGAGCCCATACCTGATTTTCTTGTCCCCATTGGGGAAAGGGGCATCCAGAAGTAGTATTATGGTGTGGGAATATTCCCAGAGGGATGTGTGTGTGTGTGAGTGTGCACCTGTGTGTGTGTGTTTCAGGTGGGGAAGAGGAGAGAAGGCAATAAAGGTTGGTGGCACAGGAAGAACTGAGACCACAGATGGATGAAGCCGAGTGAGGGCTACAGGATGTTTCCAGAAAAACACTCAGATTCACCAGACAGCAGAAGTGGGAGCCTACCAGAAAAGTCTTCCTAAGTAACTACTGGAACCAGGGGCCACAGCCCACAAATGGTAGAAGGGTGTTAGGTGGTGGTAATCCTGTGGGCAGGGACCCACAGCTAAGAAGAATGCCAGGACCCCTGAAGGGCGAGTTCAGATCCCTGAGTTACTCAACAGTCCAAAGGCCATTCTCCCTTCTGCTTAACAGCTCTCCCATTCACATCAAACTAGCAGGCATGCGGAGACAAACTTACTCGTTTTGTCCCATAATGTTACTTCTTTAATCCAAATATATGTATTTAGAGTTATTAAAGTGGGGATGCCATGCCAGGATTGATCTATCTGAAGATAATGTACTTGTCTTTCAAGGTCTTTGTGCTCTGGAAGTCTATTAAAATTCAAGCTTGAAGGATGTCTTGGAAAAAGTTATGGCCTGCAAGGAAATTTGCTGTCCAGTGGAGTTGACAGAGACGTACACACTCAGCTCTACGAGGTAGACTCCAGGGAGAGCAGCACAGGGAGGAGGAGGGCAGTGGCAGCAAGCTTGGCTGCAGCCTGAGGGCTGAGAATGGCTTTCCTTGCCTGTTTCCTTTCTCCATTCTCTCTTCCACCAGCATAATGTGGCAGCTCCAAAATTCTGCCTTCTGTCCTTAGGAGTTGGCACTGGTGGATATCCCAGCTGTTCTGTTGCTTTCCCTTTTTGTTGCTTGGCTTTTATAGTTTTTCTTATGTTATCTAGTATGCCACATGAGATGTAACCTCTTAAATTGTAACATGCATTTGTGTTGTCTGTAAGCACATTGTCATATTGCAGATCTCTAGGACTTTTCCATCTTGTATGACTAAAATGCTGACTGCAGTGTTTATCAAAGCATCTTCCTCGGGCCTCTGGCAAATGACATTCTACTTTCATTCTGCTTTCTGATTATAAAAGGTTTACTACTCTAGATGCCTGTAAGTGGAATCATATAGTGCACATGTTTATATGATCTTTTTCATTTTGCATAGTGTCCTCACAGTTCATCCTTGTCCACTATTACAACATTTTCTTCCATTTTCTGACAGATTAATATGTTGCCATATGTATGTATCATGGGTTTTGTTTTTTGTTTTTGTTTGTTTATTTTGATCAGTTGCTACATTTAGGATAGTCTACCTTTTGGCTATTGTATACAGTTCTACTTGAAAATGGAAGTGTGTAAAGATCCTCTAAGATCTTTTTTTAATTTTTGTGGATAATCCATAGGAGTAGGACTGCTAGGTTTTATGGTAGTTCTACTTTTAATTTTGTGACAAATATGCACACCTTTTTAAGGACGTCTATGGCTCGTGCTGGAGAGAGCTGGTCTGTCCTCCTACTCTCTACCCCGTTCTTCCTTCTCCAGGAAACAGAAGTGCTGCCTGCCGCTTCTTCAGCACACTGCTCCTGCTACCCTTCTTTTGGTTTCCAGGATATAACCTGACCCTTAACTTGTTCTTAAAGATCCATGTCAAGTCAAAATACCATATAACCTGGTCCTATCACCTAGCTAGATTTACTTGCTCTCTGCTGGAGTCTCTAGGGCTCCTGTCTCTGTTGTTTGGGACACATGATAGAGATGTTGTCTTGGCCTTGGATGAATTTTTGTTTTAACTGAACTGCCATCTCTTGAAGGCAGGGACTCTGTCTCCTCTGAGGACTTTGCAAAATAGGTTTCTTACCATGGAGAGGCAGACGTCATAGAAACTGTATGTGTTTAGAAGACAGGAGCTTTAAGTCAGTTGCTCTGGAAACATAAAGAGGACCCTAGGGAGTAAGGTCCGAGTGCACAGGACACTGTTCATCCCTATAGAGATAAATGAATGGGATGGGGAGAGAGAAAAGGTCAGTGTCACCACCATTCTTAGCAAGCAGGGCTTGTAATAGACAGGCGGGCTTGGAGGTTGGATCTGACTGCACCTGAGCTGTTCAGTGTGGGATGTTGGCGGGTAGGGTCGACAGGTACATGCCAGGAACAGGAAGTGGAGTTGACCTCATAGGAAGTCAGCAGCTGCTTGAAGCAGGGGCCAGTCTAGCGGCAATCTGAATAACACTGCTTCTAGCACCCTGTGCTGGAGAGTCCTTGGCTTCCAACCGTGGTATGCCTAGCCAGCAGTGCTGTCTGAGTGGTTAGCCCACAGCGAAGATGACAGGCTGAGCCTACCCTTGCCTGTCAATGGGAGGAAAAGGAAGAGGAGTGGGCTTCTCAGTGCTCTTAGGAGCTATGAGAATAGCTCCATCCATCCTGCTTTTCCCTTACCCTCTCACACCTCTCCATCTCATTATCCAGGCTGCTGCCTCCCAAACTGGACAGTGCGTGGAGGGAGAAGCATGCTAGAATTAACGGAGGTTCTGAGGCTCTGCCATGGAGAACCCTCTGGCTTGTGTGGCCAGGGCTATCAATCTGCCATATCTATAGAGGCCCACCAGGAACTGCTGAAGGATGGATGCAGGACTAACTAAGTAGCTGGAGAATTAGCTCCTTTGTCCAACTTGATTTTTTCATAATTTCACAAAGGTCGGCTCTTTCTTTAGAAATCAGAAAAAGGATTATTGTTATAAGAAATAAAACACAGCTGATATCCTGAAGTAATCTTGCAATAACCGTTGATACTCCATATACATCCCTATTTCCACAGGTGGACTTGACCTCATCTTCTTGCCAGGCCTTGGGTTTGACAAAGATGGCAACCGGCTAGGGCGGGGCAAGGGCTACTGTGACACCTACTTGAAGCGCTGTGTGCAGCACCAGGAAGTGAAGCCCTACACCTTGGCTTTGGCTTTCAAAGAGCAGATCTGCCTCCAGGTCCCAGTGGAGGAGCACGACATGAAGGTAGATGAAGTCCTTTATGAAGACTCCCCGGCATCTTAAGTCGCATGATGACTGCCACCCTCACTGTTATGTACCAGGGTGAAGAAAATCTGTGTATTTTCCTCAAAAATGAGTCAACATGGCACATTAAAGTGAATATGTATTGTGTTTTTTTAGTGTAAATATAAAATATCTAGCACAAAACCATCTTTAGAAATCAGTAGAAGTGTGAATACCAGGATATTAATTCAAATGGAGGCAAAAGCTGTATGGCTTCAGCTTAGCTTCCTGGTGTTAAGACGGTAAGCTGACCTCTCTGCCTTGCAGTTTAAATTAAATATTTATGAGTATTAGAGAATCATAGAAATTGGGGATGAAGGCTCCATTCCCTAATGTCCGGCCATTGCTCTGGTTTATGGAGACTCAGCTGTTATTAATTGATTTGGCAGAATAATATACCACCTAATCATGACTTCAGTTACTCACCTCAAAGTTTAATGGGCGATACTTTGTAGTTCCACGAGAGGAACCTTTGGTGGTTTACATACTTTGATTCAGTTGATTGGTCTCTGGCCCTTAGGACTTTAATATCTGATATACGTTGGGAATCGTTTCTGTTGGTTCCTGGATTCCATTTGGAAATGGAAGCTGCCATGGGCTGAAAATTGCCAGATGGCCTCGCAGCCAGAGAGAGGTGATTTTGTTGCAGGGAAGACTTGGTTATCACAAGATACTCAGGGGTCTTCCTGGCCGTGACTACTTGCTTTGGTCCCACCCGCAGCCTGTCAGTGGCTCCTGCTGGCATTGCCTCTGGGATGCCTTTTACACCTGTTCTCCCCTTCCTCTCATCTGGCTGCTATTTTCTTCAGCCCGCAGTGTTTCTCAGCTAAAGTAGGCCGCTTCATGCTCAGCTTCTTTTACCTCCAGTTTATTTCAGGGATGGTCTGATAAGATGTGACTCTAAAGCTGGCTCTCCCAATTGGAATATTTTGGAGACTTTGTAACAGTTAGATGTTGGGAGCACCTCACGTACCTTGATCTTTTGGAGCCAAGCCTGTACTTTCTAAAGCCTAAAGATTTATGTAATTTGCCTTTAGCCTTAACAAAGGAGCCTTCTGGAGGTACTCAGAAGAGAAACAACATAGGTAGAACATAGGAACACTGTGACCCAGAAAGCTTGTCCAAACTCAACCAGCCCTAACCATCTCCTGGACAACGGCCATTAGCCCACCCATTCCTCTCCCTCCTGAACTTTTTACCTTGCCAATATCCTGCTCTATGTGCTTAAACAATACCCTGCTATGTGCACACCTGATACCCAAAACAACCCTCTCACCCCCTCACACCCCTCCTGTTCTCTTGCTCTAACAAGTACATTAACTGCCCTGAGAAAAATAAAAATTGCCACTTGATCTGCTGCTTGTCTTGTGGTCATTACTTAGTGTCTTCTTGTCCCTATCTCCGGTCATTAGGTCTCTTGATGGCCTGCAGGTTGGTGTCCTGCAGGTCAGGGCAGTTAGATGCCTTCTACTGTGGAAGAAACCTCTTGTAAGTGTCCCCTACCCTTCTGTCATCTTTCTCCCCTTCCTATGTCATCTTTCTGGCATGCTGTGAGTATCACAGGCTGTTCCTGCCCTCTGGCCTGGGCAGGCTTATTTTCCTGCATCTCAGTGCTATTGTCTTTTGCCTGGGAACTGCTCTACATCTTTAGGCCTCTGCTTCTGCCTTGTTTCTAGGTCTTCCTTGGATCCCCCACTGCTCCTTCCATTTCCTCTCCATCCCTTGCTGTGGCCATACTCCTGTGTGTCACATTGGCCTACATAGCAGTTATTAGTGTCCATGTCTGTCCACTTCATGAGGCTATTAGTTCAGAGGATGTAGAGTATTTAGAAACAACTTTAGAGAGTATACAGATTTCATGTACATTTATTTCATTTAAAACAGATCTTTTTTTACATAATATATAGTTTACATAATTTATAGCTTGATATTTTATGCACAAAAGTAAAAAATACTTTAAAATGCCAATTTGGCTTCCTATAGATATACATAATGTAAGAGCCAGTGGAATGTGGAGACTGCTTATCAGTATGACTATCTCCTCTAGGCTCTCTTCCAGGCCTGCAAGCATTACATCCGTAAAACATTTCCTGCCTGCTTCACAGCCTTTATTGTTTCTCTGTTGCCTACAGAATAAGACCCAAACCCTGGCTCTCATACACAAAGGGCATTTTCCAACCAGGTTGCAATTTTCCCAACCCCAACACCAGACCAGTAATGTCAGTTATAGTCACATCTAATATACTTGATAAGAATTGTGAGAACTCATTTTCCTACAACAGAAAGTGAATGGAACAGAGCAGAATTGTTCAAAGAGGCACCAACATATTGCAGAAAGTGGACAGTGACTTTATTGGTATGAGGTTCATAAGGGAATCACTTTAAAAATGTGAATGCTGGTCCAGCTGCCTTAAGGTGTGACCTGAAATTCTGCATTTTCCACAAGATGCTACTGCATGTTTGCTTGCCCCCAGTAGCCAGATTCTAAGCCATACTCACAGCATATTGCTCTAATCCCAAGTGACTGTTTAAGTAAAAATTTAATTTAAGAAATCGTTATTTGAAAACCACCTTCCTTGGTCCCATTAGCCACATGGTAGCCATGACTGTGGCCCACTCTTGAATAGACTGGAGATAGGACATTTCACCAGGTAGGGCGTTCTGCCAGGGAACATTTTTCTAGAATACATTTTCCAAGCAGCTTTTTGTAGATTTCCTGTTAAGACTGTAGGGTACGGTACTGGAAATATCCATTTTAACAACTATCCTCTGGGCATTCTTGTACAAGTTAAAGTTAACAGAACATGTCTACAAGGATCCCAAATGTGATCTCTAGATGTTAAACTGATGTGGAGTTAGAATGTCAGTGATGCAAGACCCAGCAAACCACTCTTGGACATATACCCAAAGGGTGCACAATCACACCACAAGATATTTACTCAGCTATATTCAAGACAGCATTATTTGTAATAGCCAGAACATGGAAACAAGCTAGATGCCACTCAACGAGGAGTGTATAAAGAAAATGTGGCACATTTACACAATGGAGTACTACTCAGCAGTAAAAAAAAGAATGACATCTTGAAATTTGCAGGCAAATGGCTAGAACTGGAAAAATAACCTACTGAGTAAGGTAACCCAGACACAGAAAGACAAACATGGTTTGTACTCACTCATAAGTAGACATTAGACATAAAGCAAAGGATAACCAGCCTACAGTTCAAAATCCCAGAGAAGCCAGGAAACAGGGAGGACCTAAGAAGAGGAGGAGATAAGAGAACACGAGGGATCAGGAAGTAGAGGCAGGGGCAGAACCGAGGGAGAGAAAGAAAAGAGACACCTTGACAGAGGGAGCTATTATGGGGTTAGTCAGAAACCTGGCACTAGGGAAATTCCTAGGAGTCCACAAGGATCAGCTAACAATCTAAGCAATAGTGGAGAGGGCACCTTAGCTGCCCTTCCCCCTATAATCAGATTGATAACAACCTTTATCCAGTAACTGATGGAAGAAGATGTATAGATCCACAGCTAAGCACTGGGACAAACTCCTGGAGTTTGGTTGTAGAGAATGAGGAGTGATATGTCAGCAAAGGGGTCAAGACCATGACGGGGAAACCCACACACACAGCTGATCTGAGCAAATGAGAGCTCACTGACTCCAGCCTGACAGCTGGGGAACCTGCATAGGACACCACCAGGCCCTCTGAATGTGGGTGACAGTTGGGTGGCTTGGGCAGTTTGTGGGACCACTAGCAGTGGAACCCAGTATTTCTCCCTGGTGCATGAACTGGCTTTTTTGAGCCCATTCCCTCTGGAAGGATACCTTGCTCTGCCTAGATACAGTGGGGAGGGCCTTGGTCTTGCCTCAAGTGGTATGACAGACATTGTTGATTCTCCATGGGATGTCTCAACCTTTCTGAGGAGTGGATGAGGGGTGGGGTGGGGAGAAGGTATGGGGAGTGGGAGGATGAAAATGAGAGGGAACTGAGATTGTTTTAAAAATAAAAAATAAATAAATGTCACTTTTTATCATGGAAAAAAGTCAGAAATGGACAGGGAGTGGTCCTGCTTAAAAACTCCCCTGGCAATCATGAAAATCAAAGCTAGTTGTTTACAGGTGCAGAGGATTTTGTTGGTGGAGCTGGCCTGTGACAACAGAGCTCTATAGCATGGAGGAAGTCTAAGCCAGCAGGCAACAGCATTCATCTGGCATGCAGTTGCTTCTGGAAGTATTCTCTGCTCACATGTGCCTCTGGTTCTCTAGTTGCTTGTGTGAGGATCAGAATTTGTATCTAGTTTCAAGGATAAATCTCTCTTCTGGAAGGAACATCTAAGAACTCCATTCTTCTTAAAACCTTGGAGAACCTCTTTTCTTTCCCAGTGGCATATTATGGAGTGAACTTACCTGTGGTGGTTTGAATGAAAATGCTTCCATAGGCTCTTTAGGAGGTGTGGCCTTGTTGGAGGAGGTGTGGCCTTGTTGGAGGAAGTGTGTCACTGGGGGTGGGCTTTGAGGTTTCAGATGCTTCAAGCCAGTCCCAGTGTCACTCTCCTCTTACTGCTGCCTGCTGATCCAGATATAGAACTCTCAGCTCCTCTCTAGCATCGTCTGCCTTCATTCCACCATGCTTCCCGCCATGATGATAATGGACTAAACCTCTGAACATGTAAGTAGCCCCAATTAAATATTTTCCTCTGTAAGAGTTGCTGTGGTCAAATCAGAAATGAAAAAGGGGACATAACAACAGACTCTGAGGAAATCCAGAGAATCATCAGGGCATACTTTGAAAATCTGTACTCCACAAAATGTGAAAATTTAAAGGAAATGGACAATTTCCTGGATAGATATCACTTGCCAAAACTAAATCAAGAGCAGATAAACAATCTAAACAGACCTATAACCCTTAATGAAATAGAAGCAGTCATCAAAAGTCTCCCAAACAAAAAAAGCCCAGGCCCAGATGGCTTCAGTGCAGAATTCTACCAGAAATTCAAAGAAG